CGTCTTCCTTTCCCATGATTCCGAAATAAGTAGATACACACCCCTCCTATTCTTTCCAAACAATATCCACAGATCTCTGTTGTGGCCTCGAAAACGTTTCACCCATGGTGTTTTGATGCTGTACCAGTAAAATTCTTCAAATGCCTTCAACAACCAATCAATTTCCACCTTTCCTAGAGATATCGAAGTTCGGAAACCTCTCCCATTCTCGCAAATTCGCAGTCCGTCCATTTTCCTTCCCTCGCTTACCAAATCAAAAGTTTTATTCTCAATAACCAAGAATCTCCGGTCATTCTGGACTTCCATGTTGATTTCTTTTGTTCGCTTTAAGACCCCCACGTACCTTGCTAAATAGGTGAGGATGGCCGACCCAAAACGCCCTAAGCTTATTCCCGAGTGTTTGAAAAGGATTAAAACAGTATAAAGACTGATAGAAAGAAAGGATCTGTTTTGGAAAGTTTAAGCGGAAATGAAGAATAGAGAGAATTTTTTAGAGAGAGAAGTTTTAGAGAGAACTACAGGGTCTCTATGGCAAAAAGAAAAGCAATTCTTAGTATTTCGTATGTTATTAATCAAATTTTGGTTGTTGCGATCTTTTCTTTGGAGGTCTAAGTCTTATAAAGAAATGAATTCTTTCTCTATGACAATAAGACAAGGGAAGTTTGCCAGTCTATTAAACATAATTAGCTTTTGACATTAAAAAATCACCTTTTAAAAAGCATATGTTTCATGTGAAAAAGTTAATAGGAAAATGATGAATTGCTTTTCAATGATGCTTGTCTATTTTATTTTGATGCAAATGTTGTATAGGAATGACCTCGCAAACATAGTTAGACGCAGGGGATACAAAATTGTTAGAGAACTTCTTGCTAACTCAACAAAATTAGATCATCACCAGCCCAGTGCAGATGAAAAGCTAACTGCTACCAGTGATAGTTTAACAGGTCAGCATAGTTTTCCTGTTATAATTTGGTGGATTTTCTGTTTAGGATAATGTTTCAATGTTAATGATAACTGCCTATAATTAAAAGGTCTGGATGAAAAGGTGAGCAATGTTGTTGAAGAAGAACCCTCCTTAGCTCTAGTTTCCTATTCAGAAAACTCTCTCTCTAATTTGGGCGATGGTGTGGGACTTGATTCTGATGATGACTACATCAAGGAAAATATAGTCAGCACTTTAACAAGTCAGGAAAAAAATGTTTTCGGTGATATCGCCTTGTCAACCAGTGACCCTATCGGGGAAAATGATTCTCGTGCTATTGATGCTGATCCGGATCTTAGTCCTGATGACAGTGGCATGCCTGTGGAATCCTCTTCTACTTTGTCCTTAGAGGAAAACCCATCATATATGACTGAAGTTCCAACTGGGGAGGCAAATGATATGGTTGAATATCTTTTCTCATCCACAACTGCCTCCACTGTGGAAAACTATTCTGAAGGTCCAAATGATAGTTTATGTATCAAACCTGATGATGCTTGCATTGGTGGAGAATCCTTGCGCACATCAACCTTAGAAGAAAAGGTAGCAAATTTTATTCAGAACGGGGATTTGGATATGCTTGAAGGTAAGTTCTGTGAACGCATATCTCCAACATTAGGTAAGCTTGGGATAGATCACAAACCTGTACTCTTTATACTAAATGTTTTGAAAATTAGAACTAAACGTGCGCTGCATTTATGCTGCTGTATGCTTGAATACAGATATAATAATAACGTTCAATAATATTCTTGTCTTTCAATGCGTAAATGCTAGGATTATATATTATGTGAAGACAATGCATTTGTTGTCAGAGTATCTCTTCTAACAATGAGCTTTAACATTACCTAGTTGCTTCCTCTGCAATGCTCTACAAAAGTTTTCCGCTTTGCCAATAGAATACTTGTAAACATAAGTAAATATTTTTTTTTTAACTTTTTCCCTGTAATTGAACATTATGTAGATGTTAAGCTCACTTTCTTAATTAGCGGTTCCACATTGACTCTCATGGAATAAAGGAAGCAAGACTTGCAATGGCAACCTCTGTTAGAATGTTCCAAAACTAATCACAGATACTGTGCATTGTTGCTCAAGTGCATGGCTCGTCTCATAAAAAACACTTTCATATTTGTTATGCCATGCCCTTTTTCCAGATATTTTTGTTTAGTTGTTGTTGTGAAGAGGGTGTACAGACTTTGTTCATTTTAGTTATCCAATGATTTTTTGAATTTAGATATTAGTATGTCTGGACAGATAGCATCAGAGAAAATAGAGAAGGATTTCACGTATTTGTCAAAAAACATTTGATGGCATCAAAAGTTGAATGATAACAAGTTAATATGTCGAACGATACTCAAGTGTTCACTTCTTTGAGTGCAACTTCACAATTGATGTTATGTTTATTCAGGGTCATGAATTTTAATTTCTGTACTATCTATTTTTTAGGTCCCTACTAGTCATTTCTAGGTAGTCAATATTTTCTATTTTCTAATGCACAATGTAGCTCCCACAGTTCTGCTTTTTCCAACATTTTCTGAGTGATTTTCTCTTTAAATTGACATTTTTTGTCGTTTATTTTGCCTCTGAAAAATGAAGTTGAGTATGTGGGGCTGTTGATGCTCAGATAATGTCTACAGCATGTTAAGTGAACATACTGAAGAAAGTGAGGAGCTTGTTGAAAGACAGGATGAACTAGGAATTCAATCAAGGACTGACGAAGAACCCTTCAGACATGATTGCAGTAGCATGATGAATGCTGGTTTGATGTTAAATGGAAGTATATTTCAACCAAAGGATGTTACTTCAATTGCAACATTAACGGATTCTCATAGGTTATTATTCTTGACAGTTGCTTGAAGCACTGTATCTGTCTCACTGGTATATTCCTGCTAAGCATGCCTGAGTTATGATCCTGTAAAAAGATAACAATCTAGTAGCTTATGAGTGATTTTTGTTCTTCTTTTTCGAATATTCATGTACATCAACAAAGGTTTGCTTAGCAACTAATCACTTTTATTGGTCTTGTCTAACTGAAAATTTTCGGAGTACTTTATTCAGCTGAACATATTATCTTTCTATATTTAAGTGTATTCTTAGTACATTTGTTTGTTTTCAGGGATGACTACCCAAAAGCTGAAGATGCTGGTGTTGACAAGGATCTGAATGTTGAGGTCAACACACACAGCCACAGACGTTGCATAATTTGGTCCTTTTGATCACTTGTTTTAACTTTTAGCGGTTAAAGTTTTGTTCTTTCATGTGGCAGACTATCAGAAGAGAAAATCAGATCGAAATTAATCATCTCAAGTTTTTGCTGGTACTATTTTCTTTTTAAAATATCCAGTGTCTTTTTTGCATATCACTGTTAGAGTAAATCTACATAGATTTAATATTTTTTTCTTGTCTTGACTAACTAGGATTGTCTTTTATTGTATATATTATGCAAATCAGCACCAAAAGGAGCTGGAATTAACCAAGTTGAAGGAGCAGATTGAGAAGGAAAAGGTATATAAGTAATTTTCAGAAGTACTACTTGTACCAGTACCCTGGGAAATGGATGATTTCAGGTCTTTCATCCTATCCACCACTACATAGTAGTTGCTAAATTGTCTTCATAGCTTACTAATTCCTTGAATGTGTTATGGGCAAGTTTTGGACCTGGTAGACAGGTTAGACTGCATTTACATGGTTGCAGATAAAAATGGAATCCAAATGTTGAAAAATGGAACCTATTTGCTGTTATCAATGGGCTGTCAGACACATAATGTAGGTAAAATCGAAATGCAATTACCAGTCAAGTTATCCGTTTCTTTATTTTGTAATTCCCCAGTCAAATGGAAATTGTGGCAATTCACAACTAGATTAATGTAGCGGGCAATACAAAAGTAGGTAGTTGTTACCTGAGAGATGCTTTGAACAGATTGTCATGTGTATTCTCATTTAGTGGGATGGAAGCACCTTGTAAATTTCAGACAAACATGTTTACAGGATATTTGGGCTTTTCCTTATGCTCTATAATATTTTGTGCTAGTTTTGTACAGAGCATCTGTAAGATGATAGTTACTATCAGAATTTTTTTTTTAAACTTATAAATGGAGTTATTTATTTAGTATATGTAAGTTAAAATGATTCTGTTGGAAATAACTTGCTATTCTTACTTTTTTTGTAAAATTTTGTCAGCTTGCTCTATCTGATCTGCAAACAAAGGCTGAAACAGAAATTAACAAGGCTCAGAAACTTATTTCAGAGAAAGATGCTGAGTTACATGCTGCTGAGGAAAGTCTATCAGGACTTAAAGAGGTAATCATCTGCCTTTTCTTGCGGGCCCTCCCTATTGAATTTCCTAAAATCAGAGCTGGGAAATGTGGGGCCCATGGACACAAATGATATCTATTTAGTGGAAATATCTTTTAAAGTTTCCTATTCATTGACATTGTTGAATGTTGTGGGTTCTTTGACTGACTTCTTTATAAGCCTCTTAGTGAAAGTAATACCTGGGCATTTCTTTTCAGGTTGAGATCCAATACTGTGGGGATGGTGAAACTGTGGAGGTAGCTGGTAGCTTCAATGGTTGGTATCATCGGATTAAACTGGATCCTCAAACATCGAGCATCACTGAATCAATAGGTTCAAGGTATACTGTGTTCCGTTGTTCATCCAATAACTCCCTCTACAATCAGACTTTTTTTCGGTTGATTATTTCTGTTGGTGCTCAAGATATCTCTAGATAAGCTTATTAAAACTAATGTTACTCCCTTGAACTGAAGCACAGTATTGGTATCAGTTCATATAATCCTTTGTATTCTGGAATAAGATTTGAGCAATCTTGAGCTTTGGCTACTTTGATCCTCTACTTACTTCCTATGCAATAAAATTGAAGCCTCAATGGCCCACTTCCTTTCAGCATGTTAAAAGTACTTATTCTGATAGGGAATTCAAGATGTGTATGATGGAGTAAATTTTGTGAAAGCTGGTATCTGTGGATTGGTCACAAGCACTCTCAATTCATAATTTTACTGTAGCCAATAACTTTTCTTTCTGATATTTAAAATTGATGGCATTGCTTTCATGGAATTTGCCTCAAAATTGTTGTCATACTTGCTGCTCAAAACTGGTAAAGAAACATGGAGCTTATTGTGTAACTTCTTCAGGAAATCCAGATGTTGGTCAACGGTGCTGTGGCTTTATTCTGGGACCTATGAGGTTTGAATCACTATATTTTGTACAGTGATTTCCATTTTCAGATCTGAGAATTACCTAGTTCAATCATTGTTATATATATTGGCAACTCCTAGCAACTGTTTGAACTTAATATCATGAAAATCAGAATCATTAATTTCCGCACATGTGAGTGGTGATATCCTGAAAAGCAGGCTCTGGCTTTCCGATCAAGCTGAAGAGGCTTATCCTGGCCGTTGCTATATATATATATTGTAGAAATATTAGAAATAAATTGTATTTACAATTACTGTTACTGCTTTCTATTTTCATTTTTGTCAGACAGCTTATTGTTAAGATCAGATACTGTAACAGAATGCTAGTTGTCATTTGCTGATTATTCCTTCCGCTAGCTGTCATTTCCCTCTGTTTTGCCTATAAAATGAGACATTAATAATTGATGTAATAAGATGAACAAAGGAGTTTTTCCTACTCTCAAAATCTTCATAGTATCAGAGCTTATCTGATCCAAATTCTTCAGCATCCCTTTTGCATTCAATAGGCAATGGATGAACAGACTTTTTCTCCGCCCGAAGTTCTTTTGGCCTCTTATCTTCCGGTGCCTGACAGTTATGCTCTCGCTGATCAGGCTCCTTTCGTCATTGGTCATCGACTAAATGACAGTAACTATTTTCAATGGTCGTCCTCGGTGTTAATGTTCATTCGAGGGAAAGGCCGGGACGAATACCTCACTGGAGAACTCTCACCACCTCCCGCGAATGATCCAAATGCTCGGACATGGAAAGTAGAGAACAATCTTGTTATGTCTTGGCTGGTGAACTCAATGACCATCGAGATTGGAGAAAATTTTCTCCTTTATGAGACTGCGCATGATATCTGGGTCGCAGCCTGTGAGTTCTACTCCACACGTGACAATACTTCCGCCATCTTCGAAGTCGAAACAAGTCTTCATGACCTGCGCTAAGGAGAAAAGACGGTAACTCAATATTATAATTTTCTTACCTGAAAATGGCAGCAACTTGACACTTTTGAGGAACATGCTTGGAATTGTTCCAAGGATGCCAGGAGATTCTGAAGCATCGTGGAACAGAAATGAATATTCAAATTCCTCTTCGGACTGAACAAATACCTCGACGAGGTAAGCGTACGCATCCTTGGAACCAAACCTCTCCCGAATATCAGAGAGGTGTTCTTTGAGGTGGGATGCGAAGAAAGCAGGAAGAAGGTGATGATGGTTAAATCGCAACTCAGCCCTAATCTTGCTGAAAGCAGTTCTCTCTCACCCGAGGCTGGTGTAGCTCTCACAAATCGGATGACTGAGCGGAAGGGACGGCCATGGTGCGAATACTGTAAACAGCCTGGGCACGTTCGTGGAAGATGCTGGAAGCTTCACGGGAACCAGCTGAAAAGAAGACACCAAAGCAAGAGACTCATTGGGGCAATTTTGTCTCAACTGAGGAGGAATCAGCTACAGCCGTTCCTACCAAAAGCCCTCTATTTAGTCCTGAACAGATCAGCCTTCTCCAAAAAATATTTTCTTCCAATATGGTTCTGGGTAATGCTTCCATAGTTCACAAAGGTAATTTTTCTAGTTTCTCAATTTATTCTACAAAAAGGCGGAATGTGGATTATTGACTCGTGTGCTTCCGATCACATGATCGAGGATATCTCACTATTTAAGGAATACAGTAAGTGCAGAGGTAAATTATCAATTAAAATTGTTGATGGCTCTAGTTCCCAAGTCTAAGGAACTAGAATAATTGCACTGTTACCCAAGTTAATTTTGTACTCTGTGCTATACGTTCCAAATTTGGATTGTAATCTCCTGTCAATAAGCAAACTATCATGGGATTTGAATTGTGTAGCTACATTTAATTCTAATATGTATGAATTTTAGGATTTGAACTCGGGGAAGACGATTGACAATGCTAGTATGGATTCGGGTCTTTATCTATTGCAAGCTGACAACTCTTCTCTTAGTGAACAAACTCATTATGCAGTATATATTAATTCTGAATCTGTAAACAATTTAAATAGGGAATGTCCCATCATGTTATGGCATTACCGTTTAGAACATTCTAATTTTTTGTACTTGAAAAAACTATTTCCTACTTTATTTCGAAATAAAAATCCAAATTCCTTTCAATGCGAAGTATATCAACTGTCTAAACATATTCGAAATTTATTTTTCAGTTCAGTTTACAAACTCACAAAATCTTTTTCATTAATCCATAATGATGTATGGGGTCCCTCTCGGGTTACTAATATCACTGGAATAAAATAGTGTATCTTTGGTTGATGAACACAGTAAAATTACTTGAATCTTTCTCATGAAAGAAAAATTTGAAGTTGGCCAAATTTTTCAAAAATTTCACACTATGATTCAAAATCAATTTCACACTAAAAGTCAAGTATTGAGATCAGATAATGGGTGTGAATACTTTGAAACCACTTTGAGCCAATACTTTTTTGACCATGGTCTTATTCATCAAAGTTCCTGTGTTAATACCCCACAACAAAATGGCATAGCCGAACGAAAAAATAGACACATTCTTGAAGTAGCTCGATCAATTATGTTCACTACCCATATTGCAAAATTTCTTTGGGGAGAGACTGTTCTCACCGCTGCATACTTGATAAACCGCATGCCCTCCCAAACTCGCGCATTTCGAACACCCTATAATATAGTCTTAAAGGTCTTTCCACAATCTCATATCCTTTATACCCTTTCCTACAAAGTTTTCGGTTGTGTGACCTATGTCCATATTCATGTTTACCTCAGGGGTAAATTTGATCCAATGGCCATTAAATGTATTTTTGTTGGATATTCACCAAGTCAAAAAGGATACAAATGTTTTTGTCCCGGGACCCGTCGTTTCTACAACACTATAGATGTTACTTTCTTTGAAAACCAGTCATTCTATTCCACTACTGATATTCAGGGGAAGAGTATTAATCAAGAATATCAAGTATGGGATATAAGTACACCACCTCTCATTTCTCTTTCCTTCACTATTCCCGAGTCCTCATCAAATTTTTCTGAAACCAGTAACAAAGAGTTTGAACTTGAACCTGTACCTACTGCTATCAACAAAGAGTTACGTGTCTATATTAGGAGAAACAAAGCTCCAGTTGATAAAGATTCTGAACCAACTACATATTGTCATGAGTCTATTGCAGTTCCAAGTAGTAAGGACATATCAGGTAATGAGTTTTCAGGCACAATTTCTGATACTGTTACTATTACTGACCATGATACTGAGTTACCTATTGTTTTGCAGAAAGGAACTCGATCTTGTACTAGACATCCTATACAAGATTATGTTTTCATTCAATAACTTGTCTTCAAAGTATCATGCATATGTAAGTAATCTTGATGGCAGCTCCACTGAATCTAAAACAATTCATGAAGTTTTTGCACTATCAGAGTGGAGAGGTGCTATTCAAGAAGAGATCAGGGCCTTAGAATAAAACAAGACTTGGAAACTGACAGAACTTCCACCTGTAAAACATAAAGTGGGGTGCAAATGGGTATTCACTACAAAACACAATTATGATGGAAGTGTGAATCGGTACAAAGCTCGTCTAGTGACTAAAGGCTTTACTCAGTCCTACAGGATAGACTATCAGGAGACATTCACCCTAGTGGCTAAGCACAACACTATTCGGGTATTATTCTCTCTTGTTTCTAATCTTGATTGGCCTCTCTGTCAACTTGATGTAAAGAATGCGTTTCTCAATGGAGATTTAGAAGAAGAGGTATATATAGAAATTCCTCTAGGCCTTGAGACCACATATGAATATCACAAGGTGTGCAAACTCAGAAAGGCACTCTATGGTCTAAAACAATATCCGAGAGCTTGGTTTGACAGATTCATCGAAGCAGTTAACTATATAGGCTATGAGCAGTGTCAGTCTGATCATACTCTGTTTGTCAAGAACAGTGCCTCTGGTAAGAAAGCTATCCTAATTGTTTATGTTGATGATTTTATTTTAACAGGTAATAACATAGAGGAAATTCATAAACTCAAAACTTTTCTTGCAACGGAATTTGAGATAAAAGATCTTGAAGCACTTAGGTATTTTCTGGGAATGAAATTTGTTCGTTCTAAAAAGAGGATATCTGTGTCACAACGGAAATATGTTCTTGACCTGTTGAAAGAAACAGGGATGCTTGCGTGTAAACTAGTAGAAACACCCATGGAAACGACTACAAAAATTGGATTTAAAACTGATGGCAAGCCAGTTGATAAAGAAAGATATCAGAAACTTGTGGGCAAACTCATTTATCTCGCTCATACTAAACCTGACATCAGTTTTACTGTAAGTACTGTAAGTCAATTCATGAACCAAACTACTAATGATCATATGAATATAGTATATTGGATACTAAGATACCCTAAGAAGACTCTAGGACAAGAACTATTTTTCCAGATAACAATGAACAGGAATATTGAAATCTACACATATGCAAATTGGGCGGGTTCTGTAACTGACAGAAGATTTACATTTAGGTACTGTACTTATGTTTGGGGAAACTTAGTCACTTGGCGGAATAAGAAACAATCTGTTGTGTCACGAAGTAGTGTAGAAGCTGAATTTTGGTCACTTGCTTATAGAATATGTGAGGGAGTTTGGTTAAAAAGGGTTCTAATGGAAATGAAATTCTTAGTTACTACTCTCATAAAAGTATGGTATGACATGATTGAACTAAACATGTGGAGATAGATAGGCATTTTATTAGAGAGAAGATTGAAGATCAAACCATTACAATACTCCATGTTCCTACAAGTCAACAAACTGCAGATAATTTAACAAAGGCACTTCCCAAAAGCCCCTTTAACAAATTGATATCCAATGTAGGCTTACTCAACATTTACGCAATCTAGATTAAGAGGGAGTGTAGAAATATTAGAAATAAATTATATTTACAATTATTGTTACTACTTTATGTTTTTATTTTTGTTAGACAGCTTATTGTTAGGATCAGACACTGTAACAAAATACTAACTGTCATTTGCTGATTATTCATTTCGCTAGCTGTCATTTTCCTCTGTTTTGCCAATAAAATGAGGCACTAATCATCGATGTAATAAGATGAAAAAAGGAGTTTTTCCTACTCTCAAAATCTTCATATATATATTAGAATCTCATCAGTAACAATGTTAATCATTGCTTATGGTTGCTATTGCAAAATGCTAGCTTCTGTACCATAATAGTCTTTATTCTCAGAACAAAGGTGGTCAACCAGTCAAGAGAAATATTAGCACAACTATGAAATCCTCCGATTCTCTTTGTGATTATTTTCTGGTTCCATGTTTCAATGGATGCATGTTAGAATGTGCTATCTGTCTCACCAAAGCTCGCTCCCCAAGATGCGGAGAAAATGAACTAGATTGTTTTTTGGCCATTAAGTTGTCTCCTCATCTCTAATTCCTCAGATACGGGAGGAGGGGAGCATGAGGCATCACTTATGCCTTGAAGTTGTGTTAATGCGGTCAACATATTTCCATGAGGCATTATCTTTGTTAACTTTTATTTATCTGAAAAATAAACCTTTTTCTGAAGGCATAAGCATTAGACGGCAGTTATAAAATTTCTCATTTCCGAATGATAATCTGTCACTGAATATGAAGTTACATTATAAAAGGCAGAATGACATGTATAGATTTTCTCTTTTAAGTTTGTTTTCAAATTGTTTCTTAACCTTGATTAAAAAAAATTGTTTCTTAAACCTTTAAACTATTAGGCAATAAACTCAAATGTTATGATCCATTCTCTATCAAATCCTTTTGTCAATCAAATTGTTAGTTACAAGATAAAATTTTGCATTTCTGCCATGTAAGTGCTGACATTAAGACAGTCAAGATTGTCCTTTTTCGGGAAATTAAGATATAATCTTCTTTACCCAGCTTTCTGTACTGATTATTACTGTCAAATCTTGGGTGGAAGGAAAGAAACAGAATTTTGACTGTTCTAAATGTTAAGTAAGGTATTTGATTCTTTGTTGCATTTTTTACATGATTTTTATGTGCAAGTGTCACCGGTTTTTCCTTTTGTAGAGGATAATGTACTAAAATGGTTGGGACTTAATTGAAAATAGATTGAATTGTTGTCATAACTTCGAGAGTATGGCAAGAACTAATTTAAAAAATATCTTGCCCGTGAGAACATGCAACTATATCATTGTCCAAAATGGATTATGTTAGAAGTGTGATTATTATTATTATTGTTATCGTCATCATTTTCTGTCACTAGCATTACGTTTTATGAACTTATCAAGATTACTTCATAATGGATTTCTCTATTTTCAGATAAAATTTATTATTGATGGTCAATGGAGAACAGATCCTGAAAGAGAGTCAGTTAGCAGGGGCTACATAACTAACAATATTCTACGAGTAGCCAGATAATATGATTTTTCCAGGGAACAAAACTATGCTGCACGGTTCATCTCCGAGGTACTTGAGATTATAAATTACTCTAAAATCTCTGTTCAGGCATAATGTTTATATTGAGCTCCAATTAGCAAGACATTACATCCCAGAGCAGACCCTAGTTTTAGAATTCATAATATAGTTGTAGGGATAATATTAGGATAGATCCAGTTGTTCCTCAGAAGAATCAAATTAACGATTAGGATTTTTATTTAATGTTGCTGGAAGTAGGAAGCTGGCTGTGTTGTTAAAAGAGTCCTGTCGTGAAATGTTGTCTTGTGCTTTCTGATATTCTGTATGTAGACAACTTCCATTGTTAAACATGCTAGTGTTGAGTTGAATTGCCTGTGTTTTGACATGTTCTAATCGTGATTGCTGTTGCACTATGAGATGGAATAAAGCGGAAGAGATGGAGGAATGGGAAGACTTGTTGAAGCATGTAGGATTTCAGACTCACCGCTGCCATTTTTGTAGTTATGCAGCCAAATAAGATTGGTCCTTTCACAATGTCTTTGCCTGATAATCTCTTCAAATTTCAATTGGTTTTTTGAAGACGTGAATGGGTTCAATTGGGAGAATAGATGGAGAGTATAGAACTGTTTGAATAAATGTAGTTGCCACTGTTGCCAATACAAGCTTAACATTATGTAATTCAAAACTACAAAAGCTCATGATATAACTCGAATCATAGTTTCTCCACTTGCAAATTCATGTTTGAATGCATTTCTTTCGGCGCCTTCTAAAATCTATTTGGATTATTATGTTGATTAGTAAATAACTGTAGGAAAGGAGGATAAAATGATCATCTTGTTTCATTTTATGTAGGAAAGTAAAAGTAAAGATTGATAGTTCTATATGGCTAAAAGAAATTTTTTAAAAAAAAAAATTATGTGAAATTGATAATTCATATGATCAATCAAAAAAAGAAATAATTTGGAATTTTATTTACGCTAAATACAAATTAAATTATTATTTTTTTTATTGATAGAAAATATAATTAAATTAAACCTTTCTATTTATTGACCCAGATAAAAGTTCTTGGCTACTCATGAATGGTTTTTGTTTGTTTAAATTTTACATTAAATTTCAATGAAAATATAATTTTGAATTTGATTTAAATTTTAATTTTTACAATACAGAAATGAGAATTAATACAAATATAATTAAATTTTGAATGAGTAGTAGTTTACTTCCATGCTAATTCAAATTGAATTAGTAAAAATTTGATAATTAATTTATGTTTCAATTATTAGCTAATTAATTTGAAATAACTTGGATATTGATTTTCTTTTTCTTTTTTGAGTAAAATATCCGACAACTGAGGAGAAAGGTCGAGAAAGAGAATTTTTTCAGACGACGTGGAAAGTCTGAAGATACGAAGTGGCGTGTGGCGTGTCTCTTTCTTCACCTTTCCCACTCGATTGTTCGTCTCTTCTCTCTCTACCAGATCCTCTAAGCTAACAACACGAACCCACAATGTCTTATTCCTTCCATCTCTGCTCGAAAATGGCTATGCTCAATGCTTTTACTGTTTCTCCCCTGACAACTTCCCTTCCTATTCTTCCCAACTCTTCGTTCTTCCCGCCAGCTTTCTTCAGAATTTCTTCTGGGTTCACTCCTTTTGCTGCATTCTCTCTACCCCGAAAGAAAAGGGGTATCCGCAGTTACTGTTGTTCTTCCATGAAAAATGAGCTTCATGAACCTGTTGACAGCAATGCTGGAGATGCAGGTGAAGAGATAGATGGAGATGGGGAGAATACAGAGACGCTATTATATTCCTTCTCTCCTTTATCTCTGCTATTTGTAGCTGCTTTTCCCGGAGGTAAATTAGAATGATGTATTTTGTTTATATATTTTTATGCCCATTACGTGTTTGATTCAATGTCTTATCAATTACAGCTGGGACTGTGAGGTCCTTGTTTGGGCCTTTTGTTGAGCTTGTGAAATCATGGAATCTTCCCGACTGGCTTGTGCATTGGGGTCACCCAGGCAACATGGTAAAATCTTTATTTATTTTCTTTGATTATTTATTTAAGCAACCTTGATAATTTTGGTATCTAATTTCTCTTCTGTACATGATAAAGTCAGGCAGTTGTGCTCTTTGCCATGGGTGGCTACGGAACGTATCTAGGCTTTAGAATTCGTTTTTCTGATGACGTGGTAAGAAATTCACTGAAGAACATGAATTGGTTCTGCTTAGATCTTATCAACAATTTTGGCATTATTTATTTCTTGCTTATATGTAGTTTTTAAACACTATTTTAATTCATTCTGTACTAATTTATTTCGTGCATTATAACTATTGAAAGTACATTGCTTCTGGCAGTTCCAAACACCCTTTAAATTGTCTTGATTATTTTAGGAGGAGAAAGCCAAAGCTAAAGACTTGCACCCAAAGCTTTTAGGCGGGATGTTTTTCTTCTTTGCACTTGGAGCAACTGGTGGAATTACATCCCTGCTTACTTCAGACAAACCCATCTTTGAAAGGTACACCATATATATATAATATTCTCTTACTTACTACACTATTTTATTTGTCATCTATATATTCTCTTATCACAATATTTTACTTGCTATTCCTTTAACTATCTTTTTGGTGGTGTAAAAAGAAATAAATAAGAGAGCGCTTGAGGGGATTGAGTGAAATGTATAAAATTAGGGATAAATGGTTGTACTTTTTTGGTTTTTTAATTGTGGGTCATAACATTTATAGGTGAGATGATTTTGAAAATGTCATTGATTGACTTACTAATATGTAATTATGTATACGGGTGACACTCCTTTGGTGTTCTTTCAGTAATATACTGTTCATACATTTTATTTCAAAAAATATATGCAACTAAATTTTTTGCTAGTTCTTCACATGCATGGTGAAACGTTGGAGTTCGGTACTAAAGCACCAAGTACTCTCTTTTACAGTCATATCTAGTTTGATATCTTTTTTTTTTTTTCCCCTTTTCTGCAGTCCACATGCTGTGACAGGTTTCATTGGCCTTGCTCTCTTGACCATACAGACTATTTTGCCTGCATTGTTTGAGGTGATTTATCAATTATTTGCTCTTATTTTTATTGTCAAAGAGAATACTAGTACTACTAGCATCAGTTTTAGGATGGTGCAGTTTCATTATGGTGCGATTTATTAGACACATTTCTCTTGCAAACAAGTAGGGTAATCCTGGATTGCGGAATGTTCATGGGATATTGGGTAGCGGCATCATGACACTGTTTCTCATCCATGCTGCTCTTGGACTTCAGCTAGGTCTCAGTTACTAATTAATAACAAATATCATTTTTCATGATCACATGTTGAGCTCCCTGTTGATCCTTCATTTGGAGGTCGGCCCTGAAACCTGAAAATTGCTATGTTCCCATGAATCAGTTATCCTTGTGGATGCACTTTGGCAAATCTATACAACTTTTGTACCAAAATTTACATACCAAATGTCAATGATGAATTAGTGATACCAGTATTTCTTTGAACTCAGCTAAACATGTTATTATGATGTTTTTATTCGTAAAGTTTTATTATGTGTGAAAAGATCTCTTTCTTAGTGAAGTTGTATGTGTAGATATAGATTTTATACTTATATATCCATAGTTTTTTATTTAGAAATAATTTTTTTTTTCTTTGAGAATGGAATGAAGATAGGATTCAAACTCGAATTGTCAACTCTATAATAAGAGAACTATGCCATTTGAGTTAAGTGTTTATGGTTTAAATAGGAAACATACAAAATTTGATGGTATATTCAGTTAAGAGTTTTGATTGTGAGAAATAAAATATTTTTAAATTTTTTATTTTTTTTATTTTATTTTTGTAAAATCTGAATTATATCTCGCATACAGAAAGTTATATCGATAAACTGATAATTTAGATGTTTCTCGTTTTTTTTTTTAAATATTATATAAAGTTTAAACTTACAATATTAGTTCTCATTTATTAATTTTTTAGCCATTAGACGTTAGTATTGTAAGGGATGTAATCTGAAAAATAATAATATAATGCTTAATATCATTTTACTTTACATTTAACACCACTTTTTAAATTACTTACTAATGAGATTGAGATCTCCAAGTTTGATTCTTAGTAAGTTTTAGTTTCTCTTCAAGGTTTTTTTTTTTTTTTTTTTTTTTTTTTCGGGTCCTATATCATTTTGCTTTTAGCTGTCTTCTTTGGATGATATCACAACTTTGGTGATGCGAATGGCCAAGGGATTTTGTAAAAATTTAATTTTTTAATTTGTTATTATTTTTAGAATTCTTGTTTTTATACAAAGCAAAAATGGGGAAAGTCGATTGGTCCTATTGAAGTTAGATTGCATTATTCCATTTTATCGGAATTCTCGGCGAAATAGTATAGGAATAAATGTGGTACATACTAATAATTTATGTGTATATTTCAATGTCCTAATTACCGTGCAAGTATGTGATCGTGATATCTATTTGAAAGAAACTTTTAACAATCAATAATTATAGATCATATTTGGGGAATGGAGTTTAAAAATACATGAAAAGGGAAACAAAAAAGGAAATGAAGTAAAGAAATTAAATAGGTACCACCAGGCTATATGGTTCATGATACTCCCTTCTATATAGAATCCATGACAAAGAGCAATTACATAAGAATATTCACATGAAAAAGGCATTACCAAAATTACTAACGAAATAGTTATACCATTTTCAAGATTATAATTTTGTACTCACAACTTAATTTAGCAGAAGATTATTTCGGGATGTCATTCAAACGATTGAGATAGAATTGCTATAATGATTTTTCACTAACTTTTACTAAAATTTATTATTTGATCTCAAATAATATATTGTTTAGATCTCTCTCAAGGATGAACATAAAAATCATTTAATGTGCATATCAATTCCCGTTATGATGGAATTTTGAAGAGATTTTTTTAGATTCAAAATTTATCATCGAAAAAGCATTTAACGCTAAAATTTTTATTTTGCATGCCTAAATCAAAGATGTTGTGTTCTTAAGAAAATCTTAATTCCCGTCCTATAGTCTTAATTGAGCTTAACTTTTATCATTAGTTCATGTGATAATCAACAAACAAGAAATTGTATCATCATATATTTTTTCTTCACAAAAATAATGATACACACATTTACTCAAACAACACACAAAATAACTAGAATAATTAGAAAGTGCTTATACATAATTGAAACAAAAATAACATCTATTTGTTTTCTGCATTCAAAGCATGTTTTTCTCTATCGAAGAATCACCCAAAAAAATCCATTATGATTTAAAAAGAGTAAAAAATGTGAATCGTCTGGTTGTAGGGTTCTTGTCCCTTTTTTTTTTTTTGTTATTATTTTCAATCAACCTTCGATCCCCAAACCTATATAACTATGATATACATGTGTTAGGAAAAATAATACTTAAATTGCACATAATCATAATAAAATAAAAGGAAAAAAACAACAACATAAGATTTAACGTGATTTGATAGTGTGTCTATATTAACGGGTAAAACCGATAAGAAAGTTTTTAACTATGATAAAAAAATAGTACATCACCAATAGGGTCAGATACCTTTAAATAGAAAAACTATAAGAGTTTTCCTCCCATAAAACTCTCCAAAATATAAATTAAATACTCCATAGGGTAAATATAAAATATCCTTAAGATAAACATAAACTATCTACTAGATAGACATAAATATTTTCCTGATATAGATAAGAAATTCTAAAATTCAAGCCACATTAACAAATCTTCCTTTTAGCTTGGAGTTTCTATATCATCAAAGCAAATG